TAATTGCACATAACACTTGAGGCTATCATACCTTATGCCCAACTCAAAATCGAGTTTTTGATCAAAAAAGAGGGGGGGGGGGGTACCCTTAATATCAATAAAATATCCCGAACACTTTATTGATCTAGTTTGAGATGAAATAATCTTTTTTTTTTCTGAAAATATTTTTCAACAGGAAATCTCTTAAAGAGAATTAGGTTATTTGCAATGAACTTCGATGAATGTTATCATTGTACGTCTCTGAAACAGTATATGAAAACATATGATTAGTTATAGAATGTCTATCGTAATTGACGGATTTATATGGATTCTATAGAAATTGTTAAAGAGTCATATGAAATATTGAGCAAGTTGAGGTGATATGATGATAGAAAATCAATGAGAAAAGATATAAATAATATCATCTTTGTAGAAGATAATAAACCGTCTTGAATAATTGAAGACTGAAAAATCATAAACATATAGTTTTGTTTTAGCTTAGAATTGATTTTTCGATTAATCTTAGAAATTTGTTTAAAACATTTTATTCATACAGATAATATAAACGAATATTATTATCATGTTATATTTTTCACTTCACTAAAAAAAAGCTTCATCTAACTTCCTTGCAAAAACTAGTGTTTCATATTTGAAAATTCGCTCTATGTGAATCAATATCATATCATTGGTAAAGTTTTTATTATTATTCATCTAGATGACTATTGAAAATTATCTATGAAATGCATCATATTTATTTTTGTGGAACACGACTAAAAAGAAGTGTTGAAATATAGATCCGGAAACTGGGCCATTCTCCTTCCTTCCTTCAGAGATGTGATAGATATGTTAGACATGGCTTGCCACAGACAGTGGCACACGTTGTTGATAAACTATCAAAAACAGTACATCACTAATGAATGTTTCTGAGAAAATGGTCCTCTCTTTATTTTAATAATATCTCTTTTAATTCTCTACAACCCGGTAAAAATACTGTAAATGACATACGTAATCTTACAAGACATGCATTAAACAACAGTTTTTATATGAGTGCTTCTTTCAATATAATTGATGAAGCCTGCAAATTGAATAATCCGATGTATTTAAATGTAGACTATTCGACATTCAATGGTTCTTGACAATGAAAACGAGAGAGGATGTTGACTTGACATTACCTCTTGTCTGAGTCGATGGATGTGAAACTTAGCATTATCATCTACTGAAATATTTAATGTGTTCTCTATATTGTAATAGTACTGAAAGAAAAATTATATCATTTTGTAAAAGATTGAAAGAAGAATCCGAAGAAATAAATATCATTAAAATACAACGACGCTCATTCTTCCTAAAACATCCGTTACTTTCTTATTGGATTTTTTAAGGATTAAGTCAAAGGATGATGAAGAAATGTGTCTCAAGATAGATATTAAAAAAAAGCGATCTTCCTGAGATTATCATGAGGAAGTAAATCATGTTTCATATTTTAATCCTGCAATGACTGCATTAACAGCAGTCTTTTTATAATTTGATCAGGTTATATAACTATTGAACTTAAAAACATTTGAAGAAAATCAAATTTACTTTGATAACTATAATTTAAATTTGAACAAGAGAAAGATTCGTTGTTTGTTTAGACTCGTTTGAAAGAATTTTGTTCAAAATTTCAAATTGAATTATCAAATATTGTTGATAAACATACAACACATTTAATAACTGATGAAGAAGGTGAAACACTTGTATGTCCATTATCAAAAAAAGTTATTCAATCAGTTGCACGTCATATGTATATTGTAACATATCGTTGGATTGATGCTTGTTTAAAAATAAATCGAATATTAAATGAAAAATCATTTGAAATTCAAGGAGATTTAACACTTTCATCAGATCATAATGGTTTGTTTGTTTCTTTTTTTTTTTTTTTTTTTTTCTAAATTATTTTTCTAACATTCTTGTTTACTTTTATTTCTTTTCAAAGGTATGCAACGAAGTCGTCAAAGTGTATTATCAGATAGTTTACCAAAATGTTTACTATTTGAAAATTTTTCTATTATGTTAAAATGTAATGGATGTCAAGAAATGATGAATAATGATGAATTAATTGAATTAGTTCAATTATCTGGTGCTAAACATACAACTGATTCACATTTTTCACGTTTACAAACAGGTGTAACACGTGTTGTTCTTTGTGAAAAAGAATATTTGATTAATCGACGTGAAATGTATGAAAAATGTATTCATGCTGGTATTCATTTTCTTACTCCTGAATGGTAAAAGAAAACTGTCATGAAAAACAAAACAAAAAAGTCTATTTTTCTTCTTTATTTTTAAATAGGTTTCTTGAATCACTTGTTCAATATCGTATTCAACCATTTCAAGAATATCAAATAACACCATAGCAAAAAAAAAAGAAAGAACTGCGATAAATTTCTTTTTTTTCTTTTCTTTTTTCTTTTTTTTTTTCATTTTTGGTTTTTTTGTCAGATTAAACACAAAACGCAATTCTTCTTGTATTCTCTTTAAATGAAAAACAAAACAAATTATAACAATATAGAATTGTATATATTTTTTCCGATGATAAATAATCGAATTTATTCGATAGACAAACGAAAAAGACAGATTGGATACTTTATGTAACAATAACAAAAGTTGATTTGGTTTTTATTTAAAAAAAAACAAGTTTTTAATCTGTCAATATTCACTTTTGCATAAAAGCAAAAACGAGCTACTTCATATGGATGGATATACGGTTGGGAAGTGGTTTTGAACTTGAAAGCAGGAGATAGCTATTATCAAAGAGAAACTACCCATTGAATACGATCATCAGAGCGTTAAAACAGATACTAATCTATCGTATTTACTTTCATACTTTTATCATATCAACTCATTCAAAACTTCTATTTATGGCTGCATCAATATCTAATTCCAATTCTTGGCTTCAATTTAGCCTTGAGAAAATTATTATCAAACTACCAGTCAAAGCCAAGATTTGGATTTATTGCTTTGCTACTTTTATTACTCACGATATTAACATTCCGTCATTGTGAAACATGATCTGAAACTAATGTTAGATAAAGACTTCCTTTATTTAATCGTGTACATATTATCAAGTTTTACTGCATACCGCTAGACATGCCAATAGATAATGCTACTTTCGCCGTAGCCATGATAAAATGTAATGAAGGTGGCGTCATCTATTGGCATGTCAATGATAAGTAGTAGAACTTGATGATATGTAAACTATTAGATAGAGAAAGTCTTTCTCTACAATCTTGCATATATTCCGTTCTGTAGGCAAACCTTTAGAATCGTCTTTGGACCCACCTCCTCCACACAAACATGACAAATGGCTTAACAACACTGCTGCTACCCGTATGTTGCAATCTGTAACAGACGTTGCTGATATACAATCAAAGACTGTATATCAATAACGTCTTGGTATAATATATGAACTATTTATTATTATTATTATTATTATTGCGTTTCTAGAGGAATAAGTAAAGAATGTTGAGGAAATGTGTTACAAAATGATCTTTCTGTGATTAGTAACAACGGATACATTATGTTTCACATCTTAATTCCACAGAATTTGATTCGTAATATTTATGTAATCAAATTTTGTTGGTAATTGACGATATTATATAATATTAATCTATCTGAAAGTATTTCTCTAATCAATTCAATAGTTATATTTATAAAAATCTTATACTTGCAATGGATACTGCAGAGAGAAAATATCCTGTTAAAAATTCAGATTCATTTCATCTCTAAATCATGATACTTCTGCTTGTAAGTTCTTAATATCTTTCGGTCGGAAGTCCAACGTCGAAAACATTGATCTATAATCATTTGCTTAAATCTTTTTCAGGTCAAGACTTTATGAATTAAATTTCACTTCGAATAGATACAAGAAAATCAAAAGGTTTATATTCGAATTTTCCATTTATCAATTTCTTGTTTACTGTTGATGGTCGTATGAAAATCTGTACCAATACAAAGATTACGATGACTTATCCATTCATTTAGAATCAACAGACAAATTCAAGCATTTGTATTAAAAACCACTAAAGACGATTAACATTTGAAAACCTTACAACAAGATAAGCCTATAATAAAAACAAAAGAGAAAAAACGTACTTATCATCTTATGTTCATAACATATAAAAGTTGTTGGTTTTTAATTGATTTGAATGACAATATTAGAAATTGTGTTTTGATTATTTTATTGAACAATAGAAAACGTCAAGTTCAATTAAAGTTTTTGTATTTGTTTTTGATAATTGAAAAAACACAATAATCTGTTTTTCTCAAGTACATGTAGATTTTGTATTCTTAAAAGTCTATCAACCTAGTAGACATTTTCTTTAATATAAAACAAAGTAAATGATCGATAAATATATGCCATATATAACGTGTGATTTAATCGAATAATATTATTTATGATTTATTAAAAATCTTTTTAATAATCTCAAATAAATCTAATTGAGATATTTTTCAATAACAAATAAATATCGAACTTTTTGGATTTTTCTCCTATTTAATTTATTATATTGATTTGTTTGTTTGTTTTTTTTTTTGGTGTTTGATCATTAATATGAAATCAAATTATTTAATAAGATATAAGTGCATATTGAATAAATTATCTGAACTTTTTAATATAAATAAGAACACTCAAAAGAAATATTCATTGCATGTTTATAGTGTTGTTATTTTTATTTTTATTAAATCTAAACAAAAAGAAATTAGATATTAATTCTATAGATATTTGTAAACAATAAATAAAACTTGTCTTTATTCTTGTCCTACATTTTAAATAAATGAATATTCATCGACATTGACATTTTATGAAAATCATGTGTCAAATAAATTAAACAGAACAACATAATAAATAAACATATTTTCATCTTTTATTTAATCTCTATTTAACATTTAATTATTTAGATATGTTCACCTGCTAGTTTTTAATGACATTACAATGATGAATGTATGTTCATTATCAACAACAGCAAAAAAAAAAACAAATATGCTTATTTGAAAGTTTAGCGACTTTTTTTTTTCCTTCTTTTGTGATAGTACCGATGTCAATAAAATGACATTGTAACTATTCAGACAAATCCATTCTCGTTATTGTTTCCGGATGAAAAAATTACTGTGTAAAGTTCTATAAACTTGTTACACGTATGAACACTCAGGTTTCTTTTTTCTTTGAGTTTTTTTTTTTTGTTGCTTATTCGCATCTTATATCTGTTCTTTCAAGCTTTTTATTATTTTTCATCTTTCTTTTGTGTAGTTCGGAAATATAATGCTGGTTGTTAGTGTGTGCGTGCGTGCGTACACGTATACTGAGAAAAAAAGAAGAAGGAGAGAAACTAACATAGATAGTCGGAGATGCAACACAGAGAGAGAGAGAGAGGGAGAGAGAGAAAGAAAAAGAAAAAAAAAAAACTCAAGAAAAAAGAGAACATAAGAAAAAAATATATATACTGACCTCATTCTTCTTCTTTAGTACTCCTAGTGCAGTATAAACAAACTTTATGGCCTTATGTTCGAATAGGTCTATTGTATTTCTCAACAAAGCCCCGTATTAAAAACAATTAAATATCGAACAATACATAAAAAAATACTATGAATTGGTCTTAACACGCTTGTAAAAAAAAAGTTAGTTATTTTTTGTTTTTTCCTTTTTGTTGTGTATTCTATCAAAGAAAAAGAAAATAAAAGAAAATTGAACTTGAGCATTTTGCTTTTTTACTCTTTTATGCTATAATAGTGTTCTGTTGTGTAAGTTCAAGGATACTCTCCATTGGTGAGTATGAAAAAAATAAATAACAAAGAAAAACAAAATATACATGTAAAATATCCTTCATGACAAGAGTAATATAATAGATATATATACGCATGGATATGATCTAGAAAGACGAAACATGTGTTATTATGATTTGATTGTTTTCTTTTGTGTGTGAGACTAACAACAAGATATTTTTGAAGAATTGACGTTTTTTTTTTAAATCAATAAGAAAGAATTTTATTATCTATTGAACGAACAACGATAAGTTCTTTTTTTAATTCTTGACTGATACGCTTCTATAAGTGAAGAACCTAATTACTGTGACTGTATATTTACGTTTTTTCCACGTGTTATAAAGTGTTTTTTCACCCTTTTGTAATCTATTTAATATGTGCGTAGGTTTTTTTCTTGTTTATCAAAGTAATGCTGACATACATGCATAGAACAAATGTATTAGATTATTACCAAATTACAACGTTTTCTTTGTCGGTTTTTTTTCTTTTGTTAAATGAAATAGGTTTTTCCGTCATGAATTTTTCTTCAAGCAGATTATTAACATACCGATTCAAACTTTTTAATCTATTTAAAAGGAAAGGTCTTTTGTAAAAATATCTAATTATACCAGTTCTAATGATACAATGAAAAAGTTTTGTTAAAAAAAAGATAAAAAGAAACGAAAAAGCAAACGAATATGGTTCTATGTATGTTTTGTTTATTTAACATGACATTTTGATTGTCTTATTAGTCACTTTACTCATATAAAGTAAATTACTAAGAAGCCAGATAAATTAATGTTTAATTATACAAGGGTGTAGATGTGTCTTACGATTGTACATGTTCTTATACGCGACATTTGAAGCTCTTTCATCTTTTTGTGTCCTTATTGCGTTGCTATCGTTGTCGAACAACAATGATGTAAAAATTGAGAAAATTTTTGATGGATTGTTCTCATTTAAACCACATTAAAAAAGAAAGGAAAAGGGTCCAGTCGTTTTCTTTTCTTTTAGATTTCTTTTTTTTTTCTTTTTCCTCGATCTGCTGCCTTTTCATGAATAGCATATATGCACGTACACTTGAAAAATTTTATGTGCACACAAACATGCACACATGTTCTCTCCATATGACAAAAGTAACTGTATTTTGTTTTTCGTTCGCTTTTTTTTTTAAATAAAAATTTTTATTCTTTGTTGTTCACTCCACTTTCGACAGTTTGCCTGTAATTAAACGATAGAGAAGTACTGTGTTGACATCATAAACGTCAGTTTCATACAGTTCATAATATTGTTTTTCTTGTACATTCTGTTTCTTTTTTTTTTAAATTTAGATGTTTAGCGAGAAACCTTTATCATCAATTCCTTCTTCTATCCCACCGGAAATATCCATTCCAAATTCTCCAACGTCATCAACATCTGCATCACCATTCTCATCAGCTGCTCATTCACGTACATCTACAATAACATCAAACAGTTATATACGACATGGTGTATTATCATCACATCAATCCAATCGACAAATGAAAATAGGAAAATATTTTCTTGAAAGAACAATTGGTAAAGGCAGCTTTGCTGTTGTTAAATTGGCGACACATTGTGATACACATCAAAAGGTATAAGAAGAAAAACAGAAGACAAATAAAAATAAAAGACTTTTCTTTTTTTTTGTTTCTTTGAATTTGTTTTAGGTAGCCATTAAAATAATAGATAAATCACGTTTAAATCCAACTGATCATAAAAAACTTGAACGTGAAATAGCTGTTATGAAATCATTAATACATCCATTTATTATCCGTCTTTATGAAGTATGTTGAAGAGAAAAAAAATAAAATGAAATGTTTATTTGTTACTTCGAATTCTTTTTTCTAAAGGTAATGGAATCAAAAAATCTTATTTATTTAGTAACAGAATATGCAGCTAATGGTGAACTGTTAGGTTAGTTAGTCAATATTAATATAAATAAATAATTGTTGTTGTTATATTTTTTTGTTTTGTTTTGTAGATTTATTAATTCGTGAGAAACGTTTAAGTGAAGCTAAAGCTAAAGAAAAATTTCGACAACTTGTACTAGCTGTTGAATATATACATTCGAAGAATATTGTAAATAAATAAGATTTTTCTTATTTATTTTTTAAAATTTTTTTATTTTAGGTACATCGTATGTTCAAAATTGTTATTATCATTATGTTTTCTTGTACACTATTCTAATTTAGGTGATTTAAAAACAGAAAATTTATTATTAGATGATCGTGGAAATATCAAGGTTGCGGGTATGTATTATTGCTGAAAATTTCAGTAAAAAGCATAGCTTTCAATATGATTCTATTCATAATGTTAAGACAGATCTCTTATATAAAATTCTGAATATAAGACATTATTAATTGATACAGGTTTTAATTATTGAAAAAACATATTTTGTTGGATGGAAGATCCTTTTTGTTTATTTAATATTTAATTTCATTGAATTCAAGCTGAAACATAATTTTTTTATTCTTGAATTATCTTAAGAGAAATAAAACGAACCATAATTATTATTATGAATTTGAACAACGACTCGTCATTAGTTATATTTTCTAATTGAATAAAACTATGTATAATGATGTTGTTTATTTCTTTTTTTTTACAAAATTTGAAAATGAGAAGAATAGATGTTGTTGAAAAAGTAAGAATGCAGGTGATTCTATCATCTGCATGAAGAAACATTAGACTTCATAAGTTATAAGATGTTTAACAGCTTGGTTTCTTTTTGCTTTTCTAACGGATTCTCTATTTTATCAGTTATAGAATAAGAACAAATAATACAACCTTAAAGTAGCATTGAAGAAAGAAGATGTTATATCGATCGAAAACATTCTACAACAAAACAGTTCGATGATCAATTTCAATTTCCTTATTTCTGTAACACTAATCTTTTTATGCTAATTGAAAATCAAGAAAAATGAACTTGCTAAAATAATAGTAGGATTATAAAATTACAAACAACATATTAAAACAAATCTTTAATTATAATTTAATTAGAAAAAGAAAACTAAGCATATTCATGTTAAAGTATCTGTATTTATCTCATATGAATTCTAATAAAAAAGTAAAAAAAACACCATATTCAAGGTCATGAAGAACTTACATTTTAATTTCTGTAATGAAAAAAAAAAACAAGGAAATATAGAGATAAGTTCAAAGAATTTAACTTGATCCATTTCTTATGATTATAGATAATTTAATAATTCTAGTTATCTTTGATGTTATATTCTATTATAGATTTTGGTTTTGCTAATACATTCAAACCTAATACAAAATTACAGACATTTTGTGGTTCACCACCGTAAGTAATAGGCATCTTCAAAAAATTTAAAACCGCTCCTTCTTTCCTAGGTTTTTGTAGAACGACTCGACCAGTAGACGAGACGAAAAAGCCAACAATTTACCTAAATTTTCTCCCTCGTTCTCTCTACAAACCGCCAAAATTCATTCTTTTATGGCTAAATTTCTTTTTATAATAACTGAAACGAAATTAAGATGCATGACTTTTTTGTCTTTGAAAAGTATTATTTCCGTCGCCTAAGAGGAACAAAATACTCGAAGCCCTATAGGAAAAAACGTGTTTTTTCTTGCCTAGGGAAAATTTTGTCAGATCTGCTCAAAACCATCAAGACATTATTTTAAGAAAAAAAAAAAAACAATATACACCTCAACATAATTCTAATTGTCACATACAAAGTTTCAGCTCAATCGGTCGAAGCATCTATGAGGAATAAAAGATGAGGGAAACTTCAATTTTTCTATTCAAAGAAAACACGAAACAATGTATTGTTTTCACTTATTTGATTTCTTAACGTTTAAAGATAATCTTTAAAATCATAAATGGACTCTGTAGATAGATATTACTTTAGATTATACAATAACCATAAAAAATCAAAAATAAAAAAAAAATTTTTTTGGGTCATGAAAGGGGAAGGAGAGTTGGTCTTAATTTCATTATTTGATTATATACTATTGCTTTTTGTTTTTTCTTTAGTTATGCAGCTCCCGAACTTTTTCAATGTCTTCCATATTCACCGGAAAAAGTTGATGTTTGGGTAAAGAAAAAAATCTAATTAAATAACAATAAACGTTTTTTTTTTTTTCTATCTAAATTTTAGTCTCTTGGTGTTCTACTTTATGTATTTGTATGTGGTCATTTACCTTTCGATAGTAATAATCTCACTGAATTACGAAAACGTGTTCTTACCGGACAAATCCGTTTACCATTTTATATTAGTGCAGGTAAATAAATTTATTTGAAATTTTTTTTTTTTTTCTATTTTTTTAATTTTTAGATTGTAGTTCGTTAATTAGTCATATGTTAACAGTTGATCCTGAACAACGTTATACAATAAATGATATTAAAAATCATTCATGGTTAATGTTAAATAATTTAAATATATCCGATATAACATCTCAAATACAAACAATGCCAAATAGTCAATTAACAAATGCTATACTTGATCATGCTGAATTACTTGGTTATAATCGTACACAAATATTAAAATCAGTTAATGGAAATTCTTATGATAGTGATGCAGCTATATGGCATTTATTATTAGAAAAATTTCAACAAACATGTCAAATAAATAGTAAAAAAACCAACAAATTTTTTTATTTTAATAAAAGAATTATTCTTTCGTTTTTTTTTTTTGTTTGTTTTTAGATTCTCATATTCCAAATAATGAAACAAATCATGAAGAATTAGATGAACATCATACAGATTTAGTTTATTGTCCTGTGAATAATGTAAACAAAAACAAAATATGATTATTTTAAATTTTATTTTATTAATTTTCTTCTTTAGGTTGAATCTCTACATACATGTGATCTAGACATTCATATTGATGATATAGATAATTATACTGATGAAGAAGATGATGATGAAGAAACAACAAGAAAATTACATGAAGAATATGCTCAAACACATGGTTTACGACGACATACGATTGTTCGACCACATTTATTTGTACATAATGAAATTAATCCAGCACTTACATCAAACGTTCGATATTCTTATCAAGCACCAAGTATTGAACCATCATTATTAACTAATCGACTTAATCATCTTCAACAACAACAAAAATATAATACATTGATAACACACGATGATGATACTGATGAATGTTATTCTGAACCACAAACATCAATTTATCATCAACGAAATCCACATTCAACAAGTTATAATGGATTATCTGTACAATCAACAGTAGCAGCTGTTTCAGATAATTATTATCAACAACAAAAAAATAATCATTGGTTATCACCACCAATTTTAAATAATTTTCGTATGTTATTAATAAGAATTGAAAACAAAAAATTTTTTTTTTTTTTTTCAAAAAACAAAATTTTATTAAGATCGAAATTCTATATCATAAAAATATCATTAAGATCAAGCTCGTAAACATGAAATCCTCTTGAGATTCAAGCAAGTTTAAATCATTATATGAATCAAAATGAGACATGCAATGTTATTTAGATCAGAGAATTAGAAATATAATGTCACTGCAAGACTAAGATACAGCATGAAATATTCATGTCACTCAGATTACATGTAAAACATCATCAAGGTCAATATGATATAGATAACATTTAATGAGATCTCTATTCGAAATGAAATGTCACTACAATGCGAGTACTAAATATTTAAATGAGGTCAAAACAAAATAAAATGTCATCAAGACTGAAATTAATAAAAATATTCAAACAATTATTCTATAAAGAAGACAATAAAATGAGATACTTCTTAACTTCTTAAGAATAAAAAAAAAACACTTATATAACGATTGACGTAGAGAGAGAGAAAAAAAAAAGAAATAATTTAACATTCTTAAAAGAACATTAAAATTCTAGAAAGAATTTTATTTATTTATTTTTTTCTAATAGATTTAAATCGACGAGCAAGTGATAGTGGTGCTCATCTACTTCTATTTCAACAACAACAACATAATGTAACGGGTTCAAATACAATTCAACCTGTTCAATTTACACACATTAAATCTCCTGTATCAAATGTATGCAACAGAAAAATAAATTTACAAAAAAAGAAAAAAAATTCTTTCTATTTTCTAGCGATCATCACGAGGTAGTATTACACGTGGTGCACCAATAACACCGCCAATATTTTCTATGACACCGCATGACACTAATGAAAATGATGATGACGAAGATGTTGAAATACTTACACGGTTAGTGATCACTAAACTTCCCTCCCTCCAGGATAACAGGTCATGACTTTCTATTATGGAAATTCCTATCATTTCTTGACAGGTAGCTTCTATTTCTGGACGTTTTTTCGCTAACATTTACCTATAAAATTAAGAATTATTGTTAAGAAAAACACTTTTTTTTTGCGTTTATCCATTTTAAACACCATTGAACAGAGAGGACTTAAGGCTATCGCCGTTTATCGAGATTGGCTTGGTCAACCGTTGAACAATCAAATGAGTTCTTGGTGTAGATTTTCGAAAACGATATTTTGAATCGATTTTCCTTTCGATCTATGCAAGACCGACATTTCTAGCTTGTTCTATTCGAGAGTTATAGAGCGTTTCTTGCGACCATTGATTTCAGCTAATTAACCTATGCTAAACCGGAAAAACGGCTCGGTAGGAGCAATGCACCATGCTGAATCGAATAGTGACATTTATTTTTAGGTTCTGAATGGTTTGACTCTATATTATTTCAATATTTTCAAAATATACCTAGAAACAATTATCACCATGCGACTCAGCATGATGAGTTACACTGCCGCCCTGCTTTTCCGGATGGTTACAGGTCAACAGATTGAAATCAGGAGTCTCAGAAAAAGTCTTATAACTGTCGAATAGCACAAGCTAAGAATATCAACCGTGTATAGATCGAATGAAAAATAGCTTCAGAATATTGTTTTCGAAATTCTCTACCAAGGACTCATCTGATTAGTTCTTTGCTGACCGATCAAATTTCGATATGCATCGATATTCCTATCAAAAATCAATCGAATACATCATATTTTGAAATGAATAATAGAAAAAAAATATGACTTTTAATTAAATATCTCATGGCCTTATATTCTGGTTGAGGAAGGTTAACAAATAAACAATTGATTTCTTTGTTTATTTAAATTTTCAGATATCTCAATCGTGGTAAACGTCATACTGTATGTGAACAAGGTTTATTACTTGGTGGCAAAGCACGTCGCAATGCACGTGAAACAGCTAAAGATCGTAGCTCATTATCACGTCGTGCTAGTGATACTAGTTCAAATTTTATAAATAGTTCAACAAAAGCACACCTTGAAGGTTTATATCATAATGCTGTTGATTCAAAATTGTATCATGATGATGATGTAACAACATCAAGTTTACAAGAATTACATCAACTTCAAAAACAAATACAAAAGGTATATATACAGTGGCTCCCAAAATTGTTCAACCAGCTTTATTTTCAATTTTTTTCCGCTATCTTAACCGCTAGGAAGTCTCCAAATAGTGATTCCAGTAGAGAAAATGGTTTCCAATAAGAACATAAGAAAATAGAAATTATAATCAGATTCCCAAGGACTGGGTCTCCAGAAAACCAAAACCCTCGTTTTTCAGCATCCAGAAAGCGTGAATTTTTTTTTTGTTTTAACAGTCTAGAATGATAGAACAGGCAATTGTCTGCGAAATGAGATGTCTGGGAGGCGTGTATGAGCTTCTCTGGG